GGTCGATCGATGGCCACTCCTTTTTTGGTGATCATGTGGCCCAAATATTCCATCTGACTGCTACCAAATACACACTTCTCTTTCCTTGCAATTAGTTGGTTTGCACATAACAGTTTAAACACCATAGTAAGGTGATGCAAATGGTCTACCCTGTTCTTACTATAGATCAATTTATCATCAAAGAAAACTAGAATAAACTTCCTTAAATGTTGCCTAAAAAGATATCATTCATTAAACTTTGGAAAGTTGCTGGGGCATTAGAAAGGCTAAAGGGCATAACAAGGAATTCAAAATGGCCATTGTGAGTGCAAAATGTTGTTTTAAACACATCTTTAGGGTCCATTCGAATTTGGTGGTATCCAGCCCTTAAGTCAATTTTAGAGAAAATGGCTACTCCTTCCAATTCTTCTAATAATTCATTAATAATGGGGATAGGATACTTATCTTTCACAGTCAACCTGTTGAGAGCTCAAAACTCCACACAGAATCACCAAGTTTGGTCTTTTTTCTTGACTAGCACCACTGGAGAAGCAAAAAGACTATGACTTGGTTGAACAATTCCAGCATCTAGCATTTCGGCCACCATTTTCTCTAAGGTATCCTTCTGTAACCCTGAGTATTTGTATGGCCTTAGATTGACTGTCAAGTTTTCATCCTTCAGGGGTATCCTGTGGTCATATCCTCTGACAAGAGGTAGTCCCACTGGTTCTCTAAAAACATGGTGATATGTGTCCAACAATGTTTGTAATGAAAAATCTTCTGCATGCTGGGCAAGCCCGGTCCCTTTCCTGGGAGCTAAGTGTTTTGCCATCCATCTCCAGTACTTGTAGACTGCAAATGTTCACCTCTACCAATAGGGTTTTATTTGTGAATAGACCATTTAACTTTTCCAATCGAATGGACTAGGTGAGCTTAGGGTTGTCCCCCTTTAGAGTCACTTATTTGCCCTGCCATAAAAAAGTCATCCAATTGTTCTCGTAATTGGCTAGTACATTGCCTAGTAATTTCAACCATTATATGCCTAGGACCATATCGTAGTTTTGTAATGCCATTACAAAAACATCAGCCTGAAACTGGACGCCTTGCATTTTTCACTGCAGGTTCTTGCAGAGTTTAGCATAGGACATGATGCCACCATTGACCGCTTCTACTAACATGGTTTTGATGGGGGTCAGGAGACAATTCTGTTTGCTAGTGAGGTTGGTATTAAGGAAGTTGTGAGTGCTGTCGGAGTCAATCAAAATGAATATAGGGCATTTGTCCAGTTTGCCCCATACTTTGATGGTGTGACATCCTGTGATGCCCTGCAATGCATGTAATGACAAATGAGGGGTAAGGGTTTCATCATTCATGGTTTCAATGGTTTCCTCCTCCTCCGAGTCTTCCTCTTCATCTTCGATGATGCATAGTGAGTATAGTTTTTGATTTTTACACCTATGTCCTGGTACAAATTTCTCGTCACACCAAAAGCATAATCCCTTGGCTCTTTACTCGTCCATCTCCCTGGTTCTAATAGGTCTGGAAGGTCTGGGGTTAAGGTTAGCAGTAGTGTTGTTGAATGGTGTCTTGTTAGGTGTAGATAGTAAGGCAACTTGGGGAGATTTAAAAGCAGTGAAGGTGGAGCTGACAGTTGATTTATTGGAGATTATGGGGTATGCTGGTCTTGGGGTATGTTGGTAAGTGTTTGCCTAAGCTAGAAGCTTAGTGTAATGAGGGGTGTTTCTTCTATAGGTGAGGGTGTTATAATGGAATCTAGCTAGGTTTTATGCTTGTTTGAGAGATTTGGGTTCAAACATTTTCACCAAGTTTTTAATCTCAGTTTCTAATCCTTCCAATAAAAACACTAAGGCCTATTTTTCTGATGCCTGAGCTTTATTCCATTACATGTTGAACTCCTTGATGTAGCTTTCTAGATCACCAACTTGTTTATATTCGGTTAATTCCTCCAAATGGTCTTTTTTTCCTCCAAACCTACAGCACAGGGCTTCAACATAATCTGCCTAAGTTGTTTCTTATCCTTCCAAGTTTCTTACGAAGTTCTGGTGCTAGTACAATGCCAATCCATCTAGGTAGTATGATGCTAGCTTTAGTTTGTCTGGTTCAACTATTTCTTCAAGGTCGAAATATTGGTTGCATTTATACAACCATTGATGCACATCTTCGCCTTCAAAGGTAGGGAAGTTTATTTTGGGTTTGTGAAGCGTGTATGATCCTTGTGAACCATCTCCATTCCACCCCTGACTGCATGTTGTTGTAGGCGGTTGAGGAGCATGAGGCTGTTGGGAGGAACTGGTCTCTCCAGTGAGAGTTTACAAGGTATGTTTTATGGCAATCTACTAGGTAGCTATTTCTTTTATCATAGCTTTGTGACACGACTAAAAGATTGATGTTTTCTCCCAAGGGCAGGAGTGTCGAAGTAATAAATAACCTGGCAAGACCAGAGTCGAACCACAAGGAGGTTAATTGTACAAATTATAAACAACAATTATAAACAACAATAATAGTAACAATAATAATAATAACAACAACAACAATAATTATAGTAGTAGTAGTGGTGGTAATGGTAGTAGTAGTAGTATTAATAATAATAATAATAGTAGTAGTAGTAATAATAATAATAAAGAAGAAGTTGATGAGAACTTCAAGATGGAATCTTAATGTAAGGATTAAACAATGATAATAACAAATGTCAAGGTTAGAGGTTCCACTAATGGTATATCAAACAAGTATAGTATAAACTCTTATTATTTAATTGGAAACCACACACAAAGGAGGTTTCAATCAGATTATAAATTGTTAGCATGATCATATAGTTATCTTATTCGATTAATGCTAATACTTGTAAATCTCGTCAAGCATTCATGATTATAACTTATGTTAACAATAAATCAAGTTCCTTTCATAGCTCAGGTGTCGGTTATACCATACAGTATGGGTTATGAGAGTGCCAAGTATTTGTTGTACCAAGTGTTATACAACATAAATCAAGATTAGTCATTTAACAAGTAAAGTATTAAAGAGTGAACAAGAAAACAAATACAAAACATGTTAGTATCAAATATTAAAGTTCATATTAAGTTTACATTGTACTTATTCTTACATCATTAGTATAACCTTTTCACCTTGACATAATAAACTTAGCTAAATATAATGAAAGAAAGAAAAATAAATAAACAAAATAAGAATATAAGTAAGATAAAAGTTAATTAAGTAAAGGAAAGGAAAGGAAAGGTATAAACTTGATATTAATGAAAGTAAAGCATAAACATTACAAAAAATACAAAAAGAGAAAGCAAGAGCATGATCTTGATCTGGAAACCAAGATGCCTAAATGCATGGCAAATGCCTCCTTTTATATGCCTAAATGCATGGTAAATGCCTCCTTTTATAGTCAAAATTGGGAACTATTGATTTGATGACTAATTGATGAGTGGGTGACTAACTCTTGACTTGGTGACAATCTTTATCTTCTCTTGTCTGCCGAAAACGTCATTGATAACATCAACATTAGAGCCACTTGAAAACATGAAAGTTGTAGGAAATTATCTCAGCTTTCTTGTGTAAAAACTTCAGGTCATTTGGACTTCTAAAACTCCAGATATGAGCCAAACACTGAATAGTGCTCGGGCTAGAAGACAGATTCAGACTTATTTATTATTGCTACAATTTGGACTTGAAAATGACATTTTTAGATCTTGGGCTCCATATGAAAGTTGTAGGCCTATGTCTTACCTTTTCATCCATATAAAGTAGACCTAAATCTGAGATCTACAACTCCAGATATGACCAAATTACCGAACAATATTCCGGTTTGGATTGCACCGGCATCTATTTTCTACATCTCTTTGTCCTTTCAATTTCAATTCTTAAATTCATCAATCAATCCTTTCATTTATGTGATAGGCTATATTTAAAATAAACATTTACCACAAATTAAAGGTATCTTATATTATTAGATATATTATTATAAAATATGCTTTAGTTAAGGAGTTATTGATACTTCAAGTGCAATATGATGACATAAAACCTTGATAAAAAATACAGTTTTAAGTACTAATCACTTTGAGTTGGCCAAGATCATCCAACTGTGTATTCAACTTAATTTCTATCCCATTGATTCTTTGGTTAGCAGCTTCGAAGGAATGGTCACACCTTCTCACATCTTGGGACCTGGTCTCTAGAGGCATTTTATGGAGGTCCAAAGATGAAGCTTTGATACTGCAAGTTCGTTTATAGAGGATGATCAGAATATCATGGAAGAAAAGAATAAGTGTTAGAACAAGGGAAGAAGAATGTGTTATGCATTTTGCATGGGTTTTTCCCCTTAACACACTGAAGGAGAATGAGAGAGAGTAGGAGAGAATACTGGATTCTATTATATTTCTCTTCTTCTGTATTAGCCCCCATCTTCTTAGGTTTCATTCGTGACAATATACACTGGTCAAGTTTTGTTTTGTTTTTTTCCAAAGATGTTCATGCCTAAAACAGACAGAAAATAAACAAAAAGGGCATTGAACCTGAAGAGCATTATCCAGTTATCTAAGCCACATCTTAAGCAATTAAATGATGTAAATCAACTGCATAAACTGAACCAAAACAAGATTGTTTAGATGTTTTGCATCTCTGAAACCAGTACCAAATTTATAGAGAAAATATTTCAACCCACATCCACGATCACCAAACTAGTTATGATATAGCTAATGAAGCATTAAGATTCAGGAAACAAGGTGAGCTTGACTTGGTCAAGGCTTCTGCAGATGACTAAATGAAGCGCCGACAGTGGTAATGGTGATTCTTAATTGCATAAAGTTGCAAATTTGGATAACAAAGTTAATCATCTTTGCTTGATTTGAGCAGCTAAATTTGCTTGTTGATTATGATATTCCATATTCCGTATATTTGCTAGTCGCTACTGTTGAACTGAGTTGACTAGGTACATATAATTCCTCTCGAGTGACCAAAATTAGAGGACTTGCAGACTTAGCAGCCATGGGAATCCGTTTGATTCAAACATGTTGAATTTGGTATTCATAGCTTTCAAATAAAGGATCAGTTTTAGTATGATATGGATAAAAATATATATATTCCAACAGAAGAAATTGAATAATAAGACATCAGTAGGCATGCTAACGTGAAGACTTGTGAATTTGAATTCTGGAGTTACAACAGAAAATCAGGGAGACAATCATACTTCTTTCTCATTACCATGGGCAACCCCCTTTCAACAAGTTGATCAACATCCCTTCCATACTTACCAGGGTACTACCCATCAGAGCAGAGCCAAGTGCAAATGCAAACAATCAAGGGGAAAAACACTCATTATCGACCAGTCCAACTTCTCCACCAGGATGGAGTAGATCCTCCTGGGGGAGGAGGCGTAAGAATATCCAGCATGGTCTCCTTCTCCTTAGGGGTCAATGGAGCACCTCTAATTAAGTCCAGAGCCATGATGTGAACATTAGTATTTTGCCTGTGTTTCTTGTACGCCCAAAATCCTCCAGCAACACCTGCAACTAGAAGCTGCCCAAAACCTCATATTATAAGAATGGACTTAAGAAGAAAGCTTCTGTTACTAAATGATGGTACTTTCAGGCTCTTTAACTGACCGGTGAAAGCCACAAGGCTGCAGTCTGCATATCAAATTTTGGAGCATAAAGTACTGTCTCCCCAAAATCATCCTCGAGCTTTTTGTAGATATCTTTGTCACTTTTCCCAGCCTGAATCTCATCACGGATCAACTACATCACAAATATTATCAGCATGTCAGTTTTGAATGGTATCAGACAGCAAAGACAATTAGAGAAGCACTAAGATGGGATCAGTATCAATGAAAAGAATGACCAGACTTCTAGTCTGGTAAACGAAATTGCAAAAAGCAGAAAATTAACCAAATATCATGCTAGGAGGTAGCAATGATGATTCAAGTTGAGACTTATGAGTCTAAACAAAAAATCATTCACTAAATTGCCATTGTTTGATAATTCTAGTTTGGAAAAAAGTTCTCATCAAAGGAGTATTTGAAAACATGCTAAATTTACTACAGACAGCCACGATTCCACAGTTTCTCTGCCAATAGTGAGCGTCCTATGCAGCTATCAACAAAGGTTTGTTTCACTATATAACAAACATTAGAATCTCTTGAAGCCTAAGCTCTTAACTGCACACTAGCTATGATTTATTTTAATAAGTTAAAATCTGATAAAGGCAGCAATCAAAACTTTACAAGCTTCTGAAGATAAAACGTTGACATCACTCCACATGGTGTAGAAATGATAGACTCAAAGCTTAATTGAAGGTCCAATGAAGTGTCATTAAATCATGGAACATGACAACAGGGTTTGGATCGTTGAACAAGGACAATAACAAGCATTGCCATGGGCAATCTGAAATGGTGATACGAGGATTGATTAAAAGAATGAAAAAAAAAAAAAAAACAAAACATGGCAATAAATCAAAATCATTTAAAAAAACCATCTAAGATGTTTCAAAATGTGGCTTGGACTCAAACCGGGCAGTCAATAAATACTCATATTAGATAATTATAAAAATCATAACTTGGACCTCAGATGGTTTCTGACATGATATCAAAATCTCAATTCTATTTGACACCCATTCCACAGTTGAAATTAGAACAAAACATAGAAAATAGAAAATAAAAATGTAAAAGCAGCATTAAGATAATCATATTCTATTCGGAACATCTACAAGATATAACATGATAATATTTATACCTTCCTAAGGAGAATGGCGATATCTGCCTGAGAATCTTCAATGGACTGACTCCCGCATTCAGTGCACCTAACATTGTGGCTAATATTCCTTGCTCGAGCATCCACTACCTGGGCCTTCTTCAACTCCTCGTCTTGTTCGTTTCCCATAATAGGTAAATATCTTCCAACTTGAAAGTAACTAACAAATATCAAAAACCCAAGATTTTAGAATACTTGATTTTGTCCATTTCTCAGTGAGGCATTTTATCAAACACATAGTAAGCACCTCGAGACCCAGAAAATCAAGAAGACAAGCTAGAAATACAATTCAAGAAAACCGTAGTGGGAACACACAATAAACTATCGATTGGTTGAAATGAGGAGAGGTCCTCCAATAGCTAAATTCCAAATGGAGAGGGGAGTAGAATAAATAGAGAGAATCAAAGAACGCATACCTGAGACGCACAGAGAACAGTGGATTAGAGAATATAAAGATGTTGGCTATTTAGAATTAACAGGCTTGATGGGGTTATGTTTCTCAAAGTGTTTGGATGCTTTATGTTTTTGAAATGTCAAAAACAATCTTTAATTAAATCAAACTAATATCAAAATGAATTAAGAGCTTTTAGCTATCTTGTTTATCCATTAAAACAACATTTTTAAACTGATTTTTTTTTCTGAACTATTTATAAGCCATTAAATTTACAAATAAAAATAAACATATTTTAACTTTTCTTTAAGAGATGATTTATTTAAAAAAAAAATATCAAGGGGAAGTCATTCATCTATTCATCTATAGATATAAAAAAAAGATAGTTTTTTATATAAAAAAAAACTTATTTAAATTTTATAAATTTCAGATTACTAAAAATTTATGTAGTTATTAATATTAAAATTTATAAAATTAATTAAAATACACATAATCTAGTTAAAACAACAAAATAAATTTAAAAAAAAAACTAGTTACATTCTATTATTTATATTTATTATTATAACCATATTTGTTTATAATTTTAGTTGTTATTGTTATTATTATTATTATTTTGTTATAATAATAATAATAATAATAATAATAATAA